TTCCTCCATTCTCCTTTTGGGATCTTGGGCATGCACGCACACGTGCCCGGTGTGAGTTTAAGCCACCCGGTCCAGGACTCGAACCTCAGTCGGCTACATGGGAGTTCAGTGACATAGGCGTTATGCTAACTGCTGGTTCCTGAATTTTTTTTTTTTAAGATTGTGCACTTGTCAGAGAGAGGGAAAGGAGGAAGCACTCCCATGGGGCATGATCACACTGCAAGCAACCCCTTCTCTTCCATTTCTCCCTCATTTCAAGATTTTAGACACACATGTACACATGCCTAGCATGTTTCTCAAACCACTGGGTCCAGGACTTGAACTGCATGTTCAGATTTGACTGTCTAAAACTCTATGGATGGCTGCATACAAGAAACACTATTAGGACTTAGATTTCCTTTAGTTTTTAGCTAATGTCCTTTTGTCTTCCTGGATCTACTCTAAGATCTAATCCAGTCCATATGACTTTCAATAATTGTGTCCCCTTAGGCTCTTCAGTCTGCCACTTTCTCACATTTTCTTTGGTTTTGGTAACCTTGACAGTTTTGAAGAGATCACCCCCCCCCCGCCCCCCACTCTTAGGATGTGTCTGATGTTTCCTCCATAATTAGTCTGGGGTTATTCTGAGTTTTGGGGAGAAAGACCCAGAGGCCAAGTGCCCCTCTCATCCCATCACATCAAGTGTGCATACTGTCAATATGACACATCACTGTTGATGGTGACCTTAATCAGCTGGCTGAGATAGTGTTTGTTAGGTCTCTCTACCTTAAGGAGTAAAGTTACCAACCACCCCCTCTCATACTGTAACTTTTGGAAGAAAGTCTCTGTAGGGAGCCAATTCTTAGGGAGTGGGGAGTTATGCTCCACCTCCTTGAAAGAGAAATACCTACATAAATTAATTTGAATTTTTCGGCATGGAAGATTTGTCTGTTCTCTCCCTTTTATGTATTCAATCATTTACTTGTATCAGCATGAGGTTATGGATATTTGTTTTATAATTTGCTTTCTAATCCAATACTACTTTATTGTGTTATTCAAATTTTCACAGCATTAGCCATTGAGAGCTCTTTCACTTGACATGTACCCATTATTGTGATTTTTTTCTTAAAGTACTTCCTTACTTCCTGGTACTACAAGATGCTTGAGGCTCATATTATATATTTCCTGACTCTAAAAGCATCCATTTCTTCAAAGGGCCCTGGTTCCTTTTATTGGAGACCGGTATTAGAAACAATGATCTGGGTGCTAGGTGTGCTCATTGCCACTGGGGTGTTGTTGCCTCTAGGCCTTCTCTGTTGACTGAGCAAGGGAGTATATGTCTATGTATTGACATATTTATATATACATGTCTATAATATTTTTAATTCCTAAAGGATATGTGTACTCACCAGAGAGAAACAGAGAGAGAGAAAAAAAAGGAGAAAGCATCTCCTGGTGAGACATGGTCATGTAGTCCCTTCTCCTCCATTTCTCTATGCTGCCAGGATTTTATGTGCCCACACATGCATGTGTGCACACACATGCCTGGCATATTTTTTTGAGTCACTGGAAGAGAATTTGAACTGCACAGTTGGTCATATGGGATCTTGCTCTGTTTATTACCACTCCATGGAGGTGGCCTGTCTAACTATCTTTGTGTGTATATGTGTATATGTATGTATAAACCTAAACATGATTCATACTAAAGTCTCCAACTCTAGTCCATGATCACATGGGTCATTCTAGCCTATCCCTCTTATATGTTACCTCCCTGTCTCTCTGACAGTTAGAAACCGGGTTCCTATTATCCATTGTCCCTTTACTTATTTGATCAATTCCAGTAAGCATGCATAGTCATTTTCTTAAGACTTGAGAGGCCATACCCTTCATGGCAAACTACACACCACTTTAGAGGAAACAGTAGCTGTCAAGTTCAGTAGGGTACAGAGTTGAGCAAATGTATCTACTTTTGAAGACATGCTCTTACGAAAAGCTTTTAATCCAAGTCTTGTCAGTTATGTGTGATTAGTCACACCATCTAGCCTAGATGGGGATACTGGAGATGGGAAGAAAATATCCTGGATTGGCCAAATGCAGAGGAGCCTTGGGACCAGCAGTTAGCGTAATGGCTATGTCTGTGGACTCCCACGTAGTCAACCACGGTTCAAGTCCCAGACCTGGTGGCTTAAAACTCACGCCAGGCACATGTGCGTGCATGCCCAGGATCCCGAGAGGAGAATGGAGGAGAAGGGATTGTGGCGTGGCCAGTATGAGAGGGAGTGAGTTCTCGCTTTCTGACTCTCTGTCTCTCTCTGTCTGTCTGGCAAGCGCACGTGCCCTATGGCAAAAACCTCTCCAAAAAAAAAAAAGAAATGCAGAGGAGCCTTTTCGAGACTTGGGACATGGTAAGAAAACTTGGCTTACCATCAGTGGAGCTCTGCCATCCTGTGTCTCAAAAGTATATTATGGAGAAGGTTTTCTGTGAGATTGAACTTTATGTTCCAAACTGCTAAGCCATTGGTGTTCCAGTGGACAGAAACCTGATACTTGTTTTGGTTTAGTGGGGATAAGTTGTTTGTGGAAGGATATCAACTCAGCATATATCTTCAGATAGCTTCAACTGATTTCCTTCTGTGGCAATACCTTCATGACACTGTCTAAAGGAAACGCCCATTTTTTTAAAAACGAGTTTGCTATATGGCATATGCATTTTTCCAGAGAGAGAGAGTGAGAGGAAAAGTAAGAATTCACTCAGGAGTGGGGGGTGGTTAGCCATACCACATTCCTCTCTCCTTGGGCATGCACACACACATGCCTGGTATGATTTTCAAGATGTCAGGTCCAGGACTCTGCACAGTTGACCATGTGGGATTCAGCTGCTTTAACCTCCACACCACATACTGGCCCCTGTTTTTCTTTTCTTTTTCTAAATGTAATTTTTTTCTGTTGATCAACATGCTTTTTCTCTACCCTCTCCTTCCCAGCCTCTAATAGTCATTCTTTCTCTACTTTCATAAGGCCATTGTTTCCAATTTCCACACCAGGGAGAACGTGTGGTATTTCTTTCTGTGCCTGGCTTATTTCACTTCACATAATGTTTCCCAGACTCACATATTTAACCTCAAATGACAAGATTTCATCCTTTTTAATTGCTGCATAGTATTCCTCTCTCTCTCTCTCTCTCTCTCTCTGTGTGTGTTATGGAACAAATAAACTTAGATGTGTATACACCACATTTTCTTTTTTTTTTTTTGGAGAGATTTTCGCTATAGGGCGCATGCACTCACCAGACAGACAGAGAGAGACATAGAGACAGAAAGCGAGAAATCACCCCCCAGGGGGGATGGTCACGCCACAATCCCTTCTCCTCCATTCTCCTCTCGGGATCTTGGGCACGCACGCACATGCGCCTGGCATGAGTTTTAAGCCACTGGATCCGGGACGTGAACTGCGGTCAACTACGTGGGAGTCCAGCGACATAGCCATTACGCTAACTGCTGGTTCCCAACACACCATATTTTCTTTATCCATTTGTCTGTTGATGGATACTTACATTGATTTCATATCTTGGATATTGTGAATAGTGCTGCAATAAACATTGGATGTAGATACCATTATGACATGCTGATTTCCTCTACTTTAAATATATGCCAAGTAATGGGATTGCTGGATTGTATGGAAGTTCTGTTTTTATTTTTTTGAGGAACCTTCATACTGTTTTCTACAATGGCTATACTAATTTACATTCCCACCAACAATGTGAAAGAATGCCCCTTCTCCACATCCTCTTCCACATCTATTATTTTTCTGTCTTTTTGATGATAGCCATTCTAACTGAGTTGGACTATACCCAGCTACCTTAACCATCGCACCATCTAGCCTGTCCTTTGTCCATTAAAGAAATTTGTTTTCATGCTGGGCTGAGTTTCTTGTATAGTCTAGTTATTAATTCCTTGTCAGATGTATAGTATGCAAATATTTTCTCCCATGCTGTGGGCCATCTCTTCACTTTGTTGACTGGTTCCTTTGCATTGAAATCTGGGCATTTGGTGGAACAATGGCCTTTTTATGTTTTATGGAGTAGGGGAAGGCCATTTTCCTGTAGATGTGACCTGTAGTATTAGTTGTATAGTATGCATTGGCTTTGGTTCTAATTGAGTTCAGTAGTGTAGTCTCTGTATATTTGATTATATTCTTTTTGAGTGGTGTCTACGAGTGCCTTTGTGGCTGAGACTGCAAGTGTTTTTACATGCAGTGATACAGCTTTGTTGGCGACAAAAGCCTCTGGGGTTGTGAACTGGATCCTTCTGATTCTGAACGGGAGGCACGTAGTGCTTGAGGGCCCTACAAGCCAAGTAGGTGTCTCTAGGGGGCAGTAGTTGTAGCAAGTGCCAGGCATAGGGGTGCTGGTGACCTAAGTCTCTGGGAGGGGTATATATGGAAGACAGAGGTCCTGTCAATTGAAAACCCTGTGGCAGCTGCAGCTCCTAGGCTGATGTCCTCAAGCCCTATGTGATATACATGCAGCATATAGGCGTCCCATTGATCCAGGGTCAGAGTCATCAGTGTGGCAACAAAGACATCCAGTCTGGTGTTTTCAGGCCCTGAGTAGAGCATGTAGGGCCCCCCATCCCAGTAAAGGGTGTAGGGTCATAGCAGTGGTGGCAGTTGGTATGTGAAGAGGTTGCCAAGGTTCTTAGACCTCGCATGGGGCATAAGGATCCCTTCCAGTTGAAGTAGCAAGGTAGCTGAGTGGTGTTAACTGCTTTGAAAAGGCAGCATCCTCTGGCTCAGATGGGCCACATTGGGGTGCAGATGCTGTACCATTGGGGGATACGCCTACAGAGGTCTCTGACAGGGGTATGGCTGCCTGATATATCAGCCTTGGAACCTGGGTAGTATCTGGGGGCATGAGTGTGGCCACAGGGCTCTCAAATACAGTGGTACCATGCAGTCAGTCCACTCTGCACAGAAGTGAGTATGGCTGTGGGTTGGTCCCCTTTGTGAATGGCTAGTCGATGATGACGTGGGTGAGCAGGCAATGGCCACAAAAGGGGGTGGGTGTTATATCTAGAGTCTTATGTCTGAGATGGGTGTGGACAGATTCTTCCGTCTCTGACAGGGCATTGTTCATAGTCCTAAGTCTTTGGGGGGCAAGTGTCTAGGATCATCAGTCTTTGATGAAAGGGGAGTTGGTGAATCACCTACACTGATTCATCAAGTCTCAGGGGAGTCCTCCCCACCATAGTGCACTACCTATTCCCAGTGTACAGGGTGCTGAGAATACTCAGATACTCAATCATTGGGCTCAACCATTGACCTGGCTCTTCCATCCTTCAGAGGAGCACACTGGGTTGACAGTGGAGCCTCAGGGAAGTGGAGGTACAGGGTCCACTGATCCCTACATCAGGATGCACTTTAGCTGAGACTCTACTTCCAAGGTGTCACCTGTGCCATCAGAGCTTGGGTCCAGGGGTGGGGATAGGTGGTGGGATCCGGTGTTTGTTTCTTTTCTGGGTTAGTGCCCTCATAAGAACTCTGGGTAACTCGCTGTGTTGGGTTCAAGATCTCTGTCAACTTTGTCACTGTCCTGTGTTGGGCATGTAGACATCTGAGGTGGCAATGGAGAGTCCTGGGATTGTTTTGGTTACCTCTTCCCTACAGTGGGGAACACCCCCAGCTCCAGGTAACTCCAAGTCCAGTGATTTGTTTCCTCCTCTATGTCTTCATCCCAAGTCTGTGTCTCAAAGGTTTCTCCTTTCTTCTTTGCTTGTTGTAGCTTGGTGTTCTCTCTGTCTTCTGTTGGCAGTGTAGTCAGTCATCTGATTGTTTTAGTCTTTCTCCATGGAGAGGAGTTGCACTGGTGTTTCTTGTCAGGTATCTTGGGATACTCTATCTAAATTTACTTTTTAAGTATTTTGTTTTATTTTTTGATGATATAAGTGGAACATTTTTTCTTATTTTTGTTTTGGGCAGTTTATTGCTAGCGTGCAGGAATGTCAATTATTTTTTTTTAAGTTTTTGCTATAGGGTGCATGTTCTCCCTGGAGAGAGTGAGAGAAAAAGTGAGAAAACATCCCCCACAGGGGGGATGGTCATGCTGCAATCCCTTCTCCTCCACTCTCCTCTCTGGATATTGGGCACACATGCATCCTCCTTAAGACATAGAGGAAACAAACCACTGGATTTGGAGTTATCTGGAGCTGGGGGAGTTCCCCACTGTAGGGAAGAGGTAACCAAAACAATCCCAGGACTCTCCATTGCTACCTCAGATGTCTGCATGCCCAACCTAGGACAGCAACAACTCAGCCTGGCATGAGTTTCAAGTCAGCAGGTCCATTACTTCAACCATGGTCAACCATGTGGGAATCCAATGCCTTAACTACCATGCCACCTGCCAGCCCCATACTGTAATTTTTTAATGTTAATTTTTGTATCCTGAAGCTTTACTGAATGTATTTATTCTAACATGGATTTAATGGTATCTTTAGGGTTTCTTATATATCAATCATGTTATCAGCAAACAGAGACAGAGTCACTTACTTTTCTATATGGACACATTTTATTTCTTTTTTCTTTCCTAATTTCTCTGACTAGGACTTCCAGTACTATGTTGAATAACAGTAGTGAGAGTAAACATCCTTGTCTTGTTCCTGATCTTAGAGGAAAATTTTTCAGTTTTTCATCATTGAGTGTGATGTTAGCTATGAGCTTGTCATATATTACCTTTAGTTTGTAAGGGTGCATTACTTCATTACTTGTTTTGTATCTGAGAGTTTATTTAATGAATGAATGTTTAATTTTGTCAAATAGTTTTCTGTATCTATTAAGATGATCATTTGCATTTTGTTCTTCATTAATATGGTGTATCACATTTACTGATTTACACAAGTTGAACTATCCTTTCTTCCATGGTGCAAATCTTACTTCATCATAGTGAACTTTTCAGCGTGCTGTTAAATTCAGTTTGCTAATATTTTATTGAGGACTTTTGCATCTGTGTCCATATTAGCCTGTTTTCTTTTCTTGTAGTGTCCTTGTCTGGTTTTGCTATCAGGGTAACGTTGGCCTCATAAAGTGAGTTTGGAAATATTTTCTCCTCTTCAATTTTTTTGGAAGAGTTTGAGAAGGATTAATATTAGTTCTGCAAATGTTTGGCAGACTTCAGCAGTGAAACCATCAGGTCCTGGGTTTTTCTTTAAAGAGAGACTTTTTAATCACTGGTTCAGTTTAGTTACTTATTATTGGTCTGCTCAGATTTTTTTTTGTTTTATTCCTGTTTTAGTCTTGGCAGGTTGCATGTTTCTAGGAATTCATCCATTTCTTCTAGGTTATCTAATTTATTAGTGTGTAATTGTCCATAGTCTTATAATCATTTATATTTTTGTTGTATCAATCAAAACATCTTTTATTTTTGATTTTTGAATCTTCTCTCTTTTATCTTTTTTAGTTTGGCTTAAGGTTTATTTTCAAAAATCCAAAATTTACTTTTGTTGATTTTTCTTTTTTCTGTTGTTCTTTATTTCGTTTAACTTTGCTCTTTCTAAAAAATTTCTTTCCTTCTACTACATTTGGGCTTGTTTTGTTGTTCTTTTCTAGTTCCTCGAGGTGTAACCTTAGGTTGCTTGGGAGCTTTCTTCTTTTTTGATGTAGGTATTTATTTCTATAAACATCCTTTTAGGACTGCCTCTGTTTCATCCCATAAGTTTTGGTTTGTTATGTTTCCATTTTTGTTTGTCTCAAGATATTTTAAAATTTCTCTTTTAATTCGTTCTTTGACCCATTGGTTGTTCAGGACCATGTTTAATTTCCACATATTTGTGAGTTTCCCCAGATTCCTCCTGTTAATTTATTTCTAGTTTCATGCCATTGTAATCAGAAGAGACACTCAATATGATTTCAATCTTCCTAAATTTCCTTTTTTTTCTTTTTCTTTTTTTTTTTTTTTGAGACTTTTTTTGCTTTAGGGCACATGCGCTCGTCAGAAAGAGAGAGACAGAGAGACAGAAAGCGAGAAATCACCCCCCAGGAAGGATGGCCATGCCGCAGTCCCTTCTCCTCCATGCTCCTCTTGGGATCTTGGGCATGCACGCACACGCGCCTGGCGTGAGTTTAAGCCACCGGGTCCAGGACTCGAACCACTGTCAACTACATGGGAGTCCAGCGACATAGCCATTATACTAACTGCTGGTCCCAGTCTTCCTAAATTTCTTGTTTTGTGTCCTAACATATGACCTCTCCTGAGGAATGTTCCTGTGTATTTGAAAAAAACATATATTCTATTCCTGTTAGATGGAATGTTTTATAAATATCTATTTCCATTTGGAATGAAGTATAATTCATGTCTGATGTCTCCTTATTGATTTTATGTCTAGGTGATCTGGCCAATGTGGAAAGTGGGATATTGAAGTCTCCAATTATTACCATATTGCAGTTCATCTCAGTCAGATCTATTAATATCTGCTTTATGTATTTAAGTGTTCTGATATTGGGTGCTTATGTATTTATAAATATTATATCTTCTCAATGAATTGAATCCTTTATCATTATATAGTGACCTTCTTTGTTTCTTTTTACAGTTTTTAAATTAAAGTCTATTTCTTCTTATATAAATATAGTTATCCCTGCTCGCTTTTGCTTTCCATTCGTGTGGAAGTTTTTTTCCCCCCCCAAATGGTAATGCTCATTTCAAGAGAGTATTTAAGTATTATTTTATTTTATTCAAAAATAGTTCAATTTAAAAATCACTTGCTTTTTATTTTTAGGATCTGGGGACTTCAATGATTTTAATCTGGAGGATGCACTAAAAGAAACGTCCTCAGTAAAGCGTGAGTAGTAAATCAAACTATGTAAAGTGAACAATAGTGATTGCTATACATCACTTACTCTGAATACACATTCAAAAGAAACAATAGGTAGCCCGTATTTTACTTGATCAGATGAAATATGATTAATTAATATAAGTTATAGTATTATAAAATAAAATGTGAATATTTCAAATCATTTGTTGCGAATACTCAAGAATGTGTGATTACTGAGAGCCTTTTCTCCAGCTCTCCTTTTCTCCAGTCATAGTCCCTACTACCATGACATACCAACAGTGGCCTCCAAAAACATTTTTCCCTCACTCAGAAAAAGTCATTTTGAAGTGAATAAGGGATTTGTTGCTCCTTTTGATTGCTTTTTATAATGCTTCTTACTAAGATGGAGCCTATATGTAGAGTTTCTCAAATGTTATGCTTTGTCATCAATTTTTCTCTTAAATTTTTTGAAAAATAATGTGAATGCTTATAAAGTAAGTCTGAAGTGTCCCTTGACCCTTCTCTGTCCTACTAATACCTACTACCATCCCAAAAGGGAATTGTGAATTACTGCAGTCAAATTGGGACATATTGATCTCAATTTTCTATACTGTAATTATATATATCTACAGATCTCAATTTTCTATACTGTAATTATATATATCTACAGAGATTGCTTGGTGGTTTTTGTTTTATGTTACATATTTATATTACATAGTTTCATATAGTCCTATGTGTATTATATCACAGTTTGATTTTTTTCATTTAATTTGTATTGAAGACCTTAGAGAATAAGTCTCTTTGTAGTAGTTTGTTTCAGCTGCTTTTTTTTTTTTTTTTTTTTTTACAGAGAGATTTTTGCTATAGGGTGCGTGCACTTGCCAGAGAGAGAGACAGACAGAAAGTGAGAAATCACCTCCCCTCTGGGGGTAGTCACACCGCAATCTCTTTTCCTCTCCTCTCCTCTCAGGATTCTGGGCACACACACTCAACGCCTGGTGGGAGTTTTAAGCCTCCGAGTCTGGGACTCAAACCACAGTCGACTATGTGGGAGTCTAGCAATGTAACCATTGTGCCATCTGCTGGTCCCAGTTTCAGGTGCTATAATGAAGTACGACAAACTGGATTGCTAAAAACAACAGAACTTCATTATTTCTCAGTTTAGGAGACTAGAAATCTAACATTAAATTGTTAACAGGGCAGCACTCACTCTCAAGGTTGTAAGGAAGAATCTTTCCTTGCCTCTTCCAGCTTCTGGTGGCTCTAGGTGTTCCTTGGCTTGTGTCTGCATCACTCCAACCTCTGCCTTTATCTTTATGTGATGTTTCACTTTCTGTGTCATTCTCTTTCTGTCTGCTACAGGGATACATTGTTGGATTTGAGGCCTACCTGGAAAATCCATGATGGATCAAATAATATTTTACTACGTATTTTGTATTTATCTGGTTACAGTAGAATAGAACATCATTTCATATATTTATTTTCCATTTGCATTTTCCTCTTTGGTGAATTTTCTGTTCACAGCCTTTCCCTATTTGTCTCTTGGGTTCCTTGGCATTTTTAAGGGGTTTATAAGATCTCTTCATACATTCTCGGGTAAGAAAGTTAAGCACTTTTGCGTTACAGTTACTGAGTCTAAACCCTGTCTCTACCACTTACTGTCACCTTGGGTGAGTGAGCTGACTTCTCATCTGTTACATGAAGATGCTAATTAACCCTAACTCCTAGGATGATTGTGAGGATTAGATGAGATGACCTATATGAGACACTTGGCACAGTACTTGGAACAGGTGAGTTCTCAGTAAGCATTAGTTGTTATTGTTCTTTGAGTAGCCTATTGCACTGTGACTGGGCATCTGCTGTGAGAGTCAGACATACTTGATGAATAAATGCCTACTTAAATTGATAAATAGATTCAACACAAATCCTATCAAAATCCCTATGGGAATTTTTATTGTTTATAGAAATGGACACGCTGATTCTAAAATTCATATGGAAATTGAAAGGACAAAGAGTGGCCAAAACAATCTTGAAAAAGAAGAAAAATTTGGAGGAGTCACACTTCTCAGTTTCAGAACTTACTGCAAATCTATAGTAATCAAGATAGTGTGGTATTGACAAAAAGATAGATGTATCAATAGAACAGAATTTAAAGTCTAGAAATAAATTTTTTATCTATGGTGAGCTGATTTTTCTCAAAGGGGCCCAGACCATTCAAAGGGGCAAGAACAGTGTTTTTGGTTTTTGTGGGTTTTTTTTTTGACTTTTAGATTTTTGTACATGCACTCGCTGGAGAGAGACAGAAAGGGAAAGTGAAAAACCTTCCCCTGGTGGGGAGCGATGGCTATGTCACAATCCCTTCTTCTCCATTCTGTCAGGATTTTGGGCACACTAGCACACATGCCCAGTGTCTCCTTCAAACCACTGGATCCAGGATTCCCACTGCAGAATCAGCCATGTGGGATCCAGTGCCTTAACTACCACACCACCTGCTGGCCCCAGAAAGAACAGTCTCTCTTTCTCTCTCTTAAATATAAGTTTATTTATTTGTTTTATCATGAGAGAGAAAGCCAGAGAAGCATCTTCCAACAGGGACCTCACTCCATGAGCCACCTCCAGCTTTAGCCAGACTAGATCACGGACATATATGCATATGCCTAGCATGTCTAGGGAAGCTCTGGGATATGAACCCAATACCTTTCATATAGGTCCAATGGAAATTATAGGCATAAAATCATCTCTGTATTGATGATGAGCTAGGTGAAGGCAGGTACATAGATACAGTTAGAAATAAGAGATGTACATGATGATACCAGGTTATCACATGTGGCTCTCTTGCTATAAAAAATCCTCCTACTGGTACGGTCTTCATATTGAACTAGACACCAGGGTACCTAAAGCCTTCCTAAGGAGTAATGTGCAAATGATTGTTTCTAAGGCAAAGACTTTCATATTATTAACTAACATGAATTCTTTTTACTAAAACTGAACTGTGAAAGAATATACATATAGTTGTGGTATGGTCTCCATTTCCAACCCCTTGAGTTAAAAAAAAATAACATATTGAGGTAGAATTCATATAACAAAATTAACTTTATTTTTAAAATCAATTTTATGGTGGATATTTAAGGTATAGAATATGATATGGTATACATATAGATAGTACAATGTTTATTATAGTGAACACATTAACATATCCATCATCTTACATATTTACCCATGAGGGGGCAGGAGCAGCTAAAACATATTCATTTAGCAAAAATTCCAGATACAATACAATATTATTAACTGTACATTAGATCTGTATTATTTGTTCTTTATACTTATCTGTGTCTTTGTATTCTTCAACTTGTATTTTTTTGCAACCTAAAAATATTTACTTATTAAAAAAAACTATATCAATACTTTAATCAACTATACAAAAAATATAATGAGACAAACACGTGCATTTATAGAACTGCGTATTGGTCAGACCATATCCCTGCAGAGGGAATTCCCAGCATAACCTCATTCATTTGTGAGGACAGAGAAATCCTTGTTCAGACGGGCACACTCGTCTAACTCGCCTGGCGTAGTCAGACCTCTCCTTCCTGATGGCCTCCTCCTGCTTATGGATGTGCACGTCCAGCTGTCTGCTGCTTAGAGCAGACATTTACCTTCCTCATCCACCAGCCATTGGGGGAGAACTGGGGCCACTCAGATGATTGATTCAACCCATTCTTTGGTGAGAGTTTCCAGGTGGCCCTCTTCCGTCATCATATCTGGAATCAGATGAGTTTCCATAGCCTCTTCTCTTTTTTGCATCTTGCTGAAGCAGAATTTTGAGAAACTAAACTACAAACTTGGCTATTCCCCAGAAGAAATCTGTTATCAAAGATGACCTCCATGAGGACTGACTCCAGCTGTCCAACACTTGTCCATTCAAGATGTAAACCATCACACCTCCCGTCCCCGCTTTGGAGCTACTGAAGAGCTCAGGCCTCCTTGACTTCCCTCAACCTGCATTTTAAAGTGAACAATTCAATGGCATTTTGGGACATCGACAATCTTGTGCAACCACCACCTCTATCCAGTTCTAAAACCTTTCCATCATTCGAAAGTCAAATCCCTTATCTATTAAGTACTTCTCGTTTTTCCCTTATCCAACCCCAAGTAGCTGCCAGCCTTCTTTCTGTATCTATGAATTTCTCTATTCTAGATATTTCATATGAATGGATCCATACAGTATATGACCTTTTGTATGTGACTTCTTTCATGTAGTATTATGTTTTGGAGGCATATCCATGTTGTAGCATGTATCAGTGCTTCATTATTTGTTTGTTTGTTTGCTATAGGAAGTACATGCTTGCCAGAGACAGAAAGAGATGGGAGGAGTTAGTGAGAAATCACCCCCCAGAGGGGATGGCCAAGGCATCGGCCCTTCTCTTCCATTCTCCTCTTGGAATTTTGAGCATGTATGCACACTTGACTCATATGATTTTCAAGCCACTGGGTCTGGGACTTGAACCATGCTGTCAGCCCCTTGGGATCCAGCCGCCTTAACCTCTGTGCCACCTGCTGGCTGCTGACTTCATTCCTTTTTATGGATGAGTAATTCATTGTGTAAATAGACTACAGTTTGTTTAACCGTTCATTACTTGTTGGACATTTGACTCTTTCTACCTCTTGTCCACTGTGAATAATGCATGCTAGGAACATGCTATGTATATGTACATACCTTTGAATACCTATTTTTAATTTTCTGTTTAACTTTTTGAAGGAAGTACCAAATTGTTTTCTGTAATATCTGTAGCCTTAAACATTCCCACCAAGAGTGTTCGAAGGTTTCAATTTCTCCACATCCTTATCAACTTGTTTAGTTTTAAATTGTGCTGTGGGCCATGTGCGCCTGTCAAAGAGAGAAAGAGAGCGGGAAAATGAGCAATCACCCCCAGGTGTAGGGAGTATGACCATGCCACAATCCCTTCTCCTCCATTTTCCTCTTGGAATTTTGGGCACACACACACATAATTCCCAGCATGTATTTC